GGCTGATGTTTAACAGACCCATCACTGCAGGAGCCCAGCTCCACCATTCCTTTGGCTCTAAAGCCACAGTGTGTGGGTGAGCAAAACCCAGTTAAGTCCCATCATATGAGCTAAGGCAACACCAGTTTCTCCACCCATTCCCTTTGATACCATATGCACTAGCACCCCTGACCCAAGATGCACCATTCCTATGGTACATTGCATGCACCATATGTGCTTTGCCAAGACCCTGCTGGCACCTCTCAGTCCACATTCTAGCATTCCATGTACAGTCCTCTACCCTTGAATAAGACTCGGGGAATGGAGCAGGGAGCAGGGTTGTGAGCACAAGAGGCATTTGCCTGCCACAAGATTCAGAACACACATGGCTGGTTTCCCACTGCCTGCTTCCTAACAAGGTCAAACACTAAATGATTAAATGCTTGCTTCAACAGGACTATGCCATTTGATTTTATTTGATAATTATTCTCCTCAACAACAATATTAAGACTCTGAGACACAGAATCTAAAAAGGAAACACACAATTCCACATTGGGCTGAATACTTAATTCAATTCTTGATAAAAGGAGCAAATCAGATAGAAATCAGGTACAGAAGCAGAGAAATGTTAGAAGGGAAAATAATAAAAACAATGACCAAAGGGAACTGAAAGATTCAAAGGATACTGAAGAGTACAGGGAAGCCAAGTTTACCTTTGGGCACAGGGATGTCCTCGGCTTAGAACCCTAAGTAAATTGGCAGTATTGCTAGTGATTGTACGACGTGGACACCGAACCCTCTTCTCTCCTGCACTTCTTGAGGACTCCCTAAAGACAATCAGTAAGCAGAAGTGGATATCTGGCTTATGCAACCTGCCCTAGTCACAAGCCAAGTTCCTCTATCTCAGTAATTCTGATCCACTGGCTGGGTTATGTATCTATAACTCATATCTCCTTTGACCAGTCCCAAGCCTTATAAATGCTTTCCCTTTGATAGCCCCATCTGGGTTACAGATGTTTGATGCTGGATTCCGTGGACTCTGTCCTCCTCCCAGAGTCTTTGAGAAAGGAATTACATTTATGATTTCTCAATGGGAGTGGTGGGAAAGTTGAATGGAATTTGGAAAGCAAGAACAATCATCAAAAACATCAATCATCAATTACTAATGACTGTTGCTCTGTAATCTATCTATAGGTCTGAGCCCATTCTCAAGTGTGCCTCCCTCACCCCGCCACAACTGTGAGTTCTTGAGTAAATGGACTCTGCCTGGCATTCTCACTTATTCAATAAGTGTCTGGCAAAGCATTTGTTGAAGTTGGATCCTTTAAGAGTCACAAAATAATAGGACTGTGAGATTGAGCTCTGTGATTTAATTGCAATAATAAGAGTGTTATACATGGCTAATTTAGTTCAGAAGTGGCCACTCACTTTACCAACTCCAGGAACCTCAAAGAAACCCAGAGATCGGGTCTCTTATGAATCCAAAGTTCTTTTAAATAATCCAAGCCATGGCACAGAAAGGCACTTCATAGTTCTGTTTTTCATGCTTCAGCATGTATTTAAATACAGAGAATTTAGATAAAAATTTAATTCCTCCAGTAAGTTACTCCCTGTTATGTGTTCTTGTATTTGTCCCTCTACTTGCATTGGTATAGCTGACATACCATAAGAAAACCTGATAAAGGACAGTGTAACAATAAAAATAATTCAGTGTTTTGATAATAAAATTCACCACAAAGAACATAAGATAGAAGGTAAAGAAAAACTTCACATATTGTTGCAGGATTCCTGCCTGGGTCCCATCACCACTTTAGCCAAAAAAAATAACAGAGACTCTATTAGTTACAATGTTGTCAGCCAATGTCCAGGGCTTCTCATTGGCTAGTTCTGTCTTAAGTATTAACCCATGACTACTAATACATATTTCTATAAGGACTTATCTTTCTGAGAATGGCATCCTAACTCGTCCTCTCTTGCCCGGGATCACATAGTAACTCCCCCTCTTGACTACATTTCCTAGAATCCTCCTTGACTCCTAGTCCCATCTATCTTGTAACACTATTGGCCAACAGTGCTTTATTCATCAACAAATAAGAGAGCCATATTGATAGAATGACATTTCCCATCAACATATAGAATAAGTATGAGGGGATTAAAAGAGAGAAACCCCCTACCTCTCACTATTTATTTTGGGTTTCATCTTTCAAAAAGGGAAATTTGGGAACAATTAAACATAGAGATTTTAAAGTGTGTTCCCTACTGTGTGAACAAGCCTAGACATTGAAACAAATAGCCAGCAAGAAGAAAAGAGACAAGAAAAAATTTAATATTCTTTTCACAAAACAAAAACAAAACCTTACAGCTTCAAGTAAAATGGTTGACTAAAAGAGATAGTGCAGGGATTAACTGCACATACTACTTTTCCAATAGACCCAAGTTTGGTTCCCAGCAGTTGGAAAGTTCACAACTACTTCTACTTCCAGCTCTAGGAGATCCAATGCCTCTAGCCTCCAAAAATACTTGCATATAAATGTTCATACCCATACTAAATCACACACACAATACAAATTAAAAATAATAAAACCAAATATTTAAGTAACTAAAATCTTAAAATAAACTGGTATTAAAATTAGATTTTTTAAAATTTATCTTAAAATTTTTAAGCTGTCAAAAGAAATAGAAGATAATTGCTTCCCTGTCTTCAAGCTACAATCAAGTGTAATATATGATCTTAACATTACAGTATCTGATGGGTCCTCTAGTGTAGAACAATATAGTAAATAGACTTTGGGAACTAGGAGATAGACTAGGAGCTTGCTGCATCCAATACACTCATCAGCCTGGCACTGCAATACCTCCAGAACAGTGAAAAATTAAAGAAATATAGCCAACAAAACCCCCAAATAACACAAAGAACATATAAGAAAAGAAAATTCAAGGAATAGATCAGAAGATCCATAACCAGGTATCTGAGAAGAAAAAAAAAACAGAACAGAGAAGTATTAAAGTAATCCTGTAAAATTTTTCATATATAAGAAGAAAAAATATTCAAAGTTAAAGAACCATCTAGGTGCTCAAAAAATAAAATAAAAACAGTAAGACCCTGTCTATGGAGAAGATTGCTAGAAGAGAGGTAAATTAACTAAATATGGTTGCCTGTTCTAACACTAGGACATGGGGAAGAATGGAGACGAGTTAGGAGATTGTTGTTCCTCATTGGATACAATTTGATATTTGAATGCGAAGATTTAGGACTTGGGAGACAGCTCAGTCGATGAAGTGCTTTTATTGCAAGCACGAGGATTGGAGTTCAATGTCCAGACCCCATGTTTAAAAATCAACCACCAAGCCTAATGGTGCATGCATATAACCTGAGAGCTGGTGGTATGGAAACAGATGAATCTCAAGACTCACTGGACAGACATTCAAATCTATCCAGCACACTCCAGTCCAGTAAGAGTCTATGTCTCAAGAAAAAGATTGACAGTACCTGAGAATAACCTAAGGTTGTCCTGTGACCTCCAAATGGACGCTTGCATGCATATACCTGAATATATGTACAATCACACAAACACATGTGTGCACATGCACACACACTGTGACTTAAATATTTTTAACAATCAAAAATGTTCAAATATTTGAGACTGGGAGCTTTGATTCCTGGTAAGGCTTGTGCTTAGCCTGATCAAGGCGCTGGATTAATGCTAGTACTCCTAAGAATATAATTACCTCTTTTAGCTATACAATGCAAATATTGTATATGAGCATCACAGGTCTGGATAATAAAAGGAATGAGATATGTTTCCATAGAAACTCTGCGACAGTGAGAGAAATAAATTATAAAGACTCAGATATGGGTAATGTAGCCAAAATTCAAAGAGCTAAAGGACCATTCTGGAGATAATGTTGCCTAGGCACCTTGAAAGACCATTACTGTGACTTAGATGAGGGTCCCTGCTATGGTTTGAATCTGAACATGCCATCTCCCAAAGACTCATCCATTAAAGCACAAGTTACTGACAGAATTTTTGGAAGTGATGGACCATGAGAGGAGAGCCTTGAGCTCATCAATGGATTAATCTACTGATAGAATCCTCATTTGATGTTAAGAGGTGGGGTTTACTGACGGTGAGGAGTCACCTGCATGCGCTGTTAAAGAGCCTATCTTCTCTCCTAGGACTTCCCAGCCTTTCTCTGCTTCCTAGCTATCATGAAGTAACAGTTTTCCTTCATTGTGTGTAGAGGCTCACCATAGGTCCGGATACATAAGCGGAAACCTGTGAGATCATAAGCCAAAAAAACTATGTATGTTTCTTCTTTCAAATCACTTCCCTTAGGCATCTGTCACAGCAACAAAAAGTCTGACTAGCAAGTCCGTCAAAGGTCAGGGTGGTGCTTTGGGAAGTGATGGAACATTTAGGAGTTCAAGTCTAGTGGGAGGTTCTTGAATCACCAGGAATGTATTTTGAAGGGGTTGCAGGACCCTGGCTTCTTCTTCCTCCTCTTCTCTTGCTTCAGAAGCAGGAAGCAAACAGTTTGCTCCTGCCACAGTGGACTGCTTTATCCACCAGGCCTACCTGAACTTGGACTGGTACATCCAGAAAATGAGCCCCCAAAAAGATCACTTCAAGTGTGTCATTTTACTGACAAAAAATTGACTAACTCAGCAACTCCCTCACTCAGATCAGTGGCTTTTTCAAAGAGCTAGAAGACTGAGAAATACTTCCGTTTCTCTCTGAGGAATCCTGTGTTTCTTCTTGGGGATTCCATGGGCTCCTCTGGTAGGAGTCCTTGAGCTCCTCTATGCCTGTGTGTCCTCGACTGTTTTATGGGAGACATCTCCGCAGACCTTGAGCTCTGTGAGAGCTATACCTTATAAGGCATTTTCAGGTCCTTAATTACCTCACACACCTAGTGCTTCCCAAAAGCCCAGTAAAGCCTAAGAGGGCAGAACATTTTATTTGGGGACTGTGTTAGAAATGCACGGTGTAAGAAGAGTACTCCAGACCCCAGTTTCTTACCTCTTGGGCGAGTCGGGGTCAAAGCAAGTCTTGCGGACATCAGTCACTGCAGGATCACAGCAGTCCCCGTCATCAAAATCATTCAGCATGTTGTTGCACTCTACGTGACAGAGGCCATCCCTGCGATTCCAGGAGTAGCAGCGGCCCTGCAGGCGGCAATCACCCCCATCGTAGCCAGTGAGAGGATGCTCACACTCAGGGTCACAGTGGTCATTGCCAATCTTGCTGGGCTCACAATTAACGAGCACAACCCGGTGGCGAAGGGTGGAGTTATGGACCGGATGGACACTCAGCTGCCAGCTGATATTGTAGCGGCTGAAGGCTTTATTCAGTGCTTCGTGCTGCCGGCGGATCTGCTCAGTGCTCACAATGGGATGCAGTCCCTCATCATCACAGATGTTTACCACCTGGTAGCGGATCACTTTCTCCCCTCGAAGGGGCCCATGCTCATTGTACTGGGAGATCAGTTCCACATTGTCACAAGCTGTTTGCCCACAAAGTGGAGGCTGCAAAGGTGACAGAATCTCAGGCTGTGAGTCAGAGTCCTGGAGAATCTCCAGCCGGGGATATGTCTCATCTCTAAAGGGGGCCCACTGTTCCTTGAGAGGGTTGAAAGTGGCTGTTAGAATCAAGGTGGTCAGCTCATCTGCTCGACTTGGATGCTGGGAACTGTGCTGGAGGTGGGCTTGTGAGAGAGCAGTAGACCAGATGACCAGCGTGCCCAAATATCCACGGAAATAATGCCCATCCTCGGAGCTGTCCCCTCCTAGGAGTAGGGAGCGGCAGGATGCCATGAAAGGGCTATTCAGTGGACCAGACTGATCAGGACTACTAGCCACTCGAGTGCCATCCACATACAAAGCTATATGCTGTCCATCGTAAGTGGCTGCCACATGAGCCCATGTGCCTGGTTGGTAGCGGCTGTGGCCAGTCACAATAGTAGCCTTCTTCACCCGGTCAGTGCGGAGAGAAAAGAAGAAGCGAGCATCTCTCCTCCCCTTGTCCTTCCCCAAGCGAATCCCCAGGGCCCAGCCCTTGTCATTGGCTGTGTGGGAGCAGTTATCAAACACACCTGGGAAAGAAGGAAGAGTTGAAGGGAGAAAGACCAGATACAAAGGGAGTGGAGAAAGGGAGAGGAAAGACTGTGTAAATAACAAGAATGTAGGTTTTCAGTTCCTCACATTGCCTGCCTTTCTATACTCCCATATGAGATATCATGACAGTGTCTATCCAACCCCCCCCCAAAAAAGATTCTACTCAACTTAGCTCATTCTACTCATTCTGGTATTTTAAAATAACCAAGGTAGAAGCCAGGAAGTAGACACCCAACACAAATGATGATTACCCTTTGATGTAAATACCCTTCATCCTTCATGCTCTTTCCCTAGACTGGCACAGAGATCAGTTATAGTTTCTGAGACCAAATGGTCATCATTCATTTCTTTCTTTTGAACATTGAAACGGTGTTTCTCATTAAATAAGGAGCTTGTAACATCCAGATATCACTCCTAGACTACTACTCCTCTTGTACAACCATCAGCAACAGAGAACAGCTGTTTCCCAGACAATACAAAATGACATAGGTCCCATGGGCCTATCCTCAAAGTTGAGAAAGTCAGTTATGAGAATGGCCATTTTCTATCCAGTGATTTCTATCACAGAACACAAACAGGACTTTCCAAGTAGATGAGATCCTTGCACACATTGCCCTGCTACCCAGCTCAGAGCAAGCACTAGAACAATAAATCAATTTGAATAAATAAAGACAATAATACCTGTGGATACTACAACTGAAAATGGGAGCTGCAAGAAGCACGTTAGGGAATAGTGATAGCAGCACTGATGGAAAGGAACCCTCAGGCAGAGGGGAGGACTTGACAGTCACAGCACTACACTCTGCTTAATTCACCATGTCTTGCTGAGTAGCTTCTTCTCACATATCTCTAAGACAGCAGTCCTCAACTTGTAGGTTGGGACCACTTTGGCAAACTTCTGTCTCCAAAAATGGCTACGTTACAATTCATAATAGTTGCAAAATAACATTTATGAAGAGCACCAAAAATAATTTTATGGTTGGGGTCACCACAACATGAGGCTCTGTGTTAAACAGTCACAGTGTTTGGAAAGTTGAGGACCACTGCACTAAGGAGCATATTTATTGGTAAACTATGTGAAAGCATTACATGTCCATGGAAACGCTCCGTATGATAGATGTTCTGCATTGATGACTGATTTATTGGAGTCTTGGGAGGTGGTGCCTGGGTATAAAATAAGAATTGTTCTCTCCTGGACTGTTAGACAATCATTTTATCTATTCCACGAATTCCTGTGTAATCTAAGCCAACAGTATTTGCTTATGGGTGGTTTAGATTTATTAGCATAAGGTTTCTCATTCTTTCTCCTTTTTGATTAATTCCTTGAAAATTTTATATAATATCTCTTTCATCATATTCATCCCTTCTTTAAGATCCTCCCAGAAAACCCCTTCTGCATCTGCCTAACTTTGTATCCTCATTTTAAAAAAATCAAGTCCAATATTGGAGAGCATGCTTTCTGTAAGGTGTCCATTCCCATGGCAAATGAATAGCTATATTCTCATAAATGGCAGAATATCTTCTCTTGTGTCTGACATAAAATAAGTTGAAATTTAATGGGCAAATATATTTTAAACAATACAGTGGCCTTGTCAACTGAATAATTAAACTTTGAAGAATAATAATTATGTAGTAATTATAATATAATATAACAAAGAATAATAAACTGTAGAGAATGGGTAATGACTACCTACAGTGCAATTCCTATTTGGAAGTATTGCTTTTTGTTTTTTTTTTCTTTTTTGCATTATTTTCTGTTTTTTTCTACTGTTGTTTTTCTATTAAGAGAGTTTAAGAAAGGTTTCTTCAAAAATCCTTGTGTTGTGGATTTTCATAAGGAAGACAAACCTACTATGATCAATACTAAGTATTCTGCTTCATATTTTATTCTAGTTTCACGTTTTGAAAAGTCCAGTAATATCTAATTATGTCCAACTTCTGACCTATGAACAAAAGTGCCACAATATTTAATATGAGTACCATGGAGTCACTGATAGCTCAGCTACATGCTGATTTTAAAAAAAGAATTTGAAAGTCTATTATAAATGACTGCAAGCACAGGTATGTGTATAGAATTGAACCACAGACATTTTTGAAGACTTTAATTTTCTGCCCTTACAACCCTATTTGATCAACAGTACAGTAATTATTTCTGCTTAGTTGCCTCACAGGAAGCTATAAAGTTTTCAAGTTACTAATTTTCAGTGTTTGCTAATTTCTGCAGTGTAAATTACACCCACGGTGCTAATTTTAGGCTGCTAATATGATGTCATTGCACATGGTATTGGGAAGAGAGGTGCACACTTGGCTCTGCTGAACCAGTAGGAGCCAGTTCCAAGAGCTCCAGACGAAAACGGAATGCCGATCTAAGCAGCCAAATGTCTCCCTCTCTTTCCCTCTGACTGAAGTAGACTCAGCTGCATTGCAGATGATGTGGCTTTCTGTAGTGTGAAAGGGGTAAATATTGCCTCCCATCTAGGTCTTGAGCATTAGGATGTCTACCTGTGCGCCAGTCGGACCTGTGAATAAAACCTGTCCATTCCAAGCCTGCTCTTTATCGCCCTTTAATTATATACTGAAACTAGAGGGCAGCCTGACACAGCTCCCCATGTGCCCTTAGGAAAGGCTCTCAGCCCTGCCCACTTGACCCCACCAAGTAGAAACAAGATCAATTTTCTTTCACAAGAAAAAGTGACAGAATCACCATATTGGGGACATGTCTCCTTCTGAGTCTAGCGCAGAGGCTGACAGAACCAACACGATCGGAGCCAACACAGTATACGTGGTAAAACTCAGAGCTTGTGCAAGAGTGGGATTTTATAACTTTGGATGTACATGTGATAGAAACAAACACATTATAACTGGTGTTTATTCATCAAAGCCACATTCTTGGGAAGAACAGAGGGACCAGATCGTGAATATGATTTATTAAGTCACTCAGCAACAAAATGAACTCTGATAGCCCATGGTTAGGAACATCAGAACCAGTGATGTAACGCAAAGGATGGTGGTGGGATTGAAGCCAAACATTTGAATCACATCCTCTTAAAACTTAGATAATCATTTTCCATCACTTCTTTCCAATAGCTCTCTGCTATGTACTGTTGTTTACTAAATTTGCATTTGGTTAAACACCTTACGATATATTAAAACTGAGTGTCCAAGGGGGGAAAGTACATTCAGGGAGTATATCTATATCTTGTTCATTGCTTTTGTGTTCTCAGCTCCCAAACCCATATTTAGAAGCCAGTGATCTTAACAGATCATATACTCAAGTGTGTCTTCAAGAAAAGAAAATCTGTGTCCAATTTTCTGTTATTAATTACTAGCATTTGGAATTAATAGAGTCAGTTACCCTCAGGGAAAAGGTACTTCTCTCAAACTAGAATATTCCCCAAGGCAATATGAACAAGTCTAATAAATGTGAGTCTCAAAGCTAGAGAGTTGTGAATAACTGCTTAGTGGTGAAATCTGAAGTGCAGTCATGCCCCCAGTGTAGACATCCCCCCTCCCAATACTTTCAATTTCCGAAGTTCTTTCCTTATGCTTAGGAGAGAGATCTGTTTCTTCTGCCAAGATGAAATAAAAGAAGCTTGAGCTATCTTTTACTAAGGCTTTGCTGTGTCCTACCCACGGCCCGTGTACCATCCCCACTAATGTACCGCAAACGTATGAGCCGAATTGAAAGATTCTTCCCTGAAGACCAAAAGCTGAGCATTGAAAATGGGGAAAGTGATTCACAGTCTCACATGTAGCAAGTGCCAAAAGCAGAGATCAAAACCAAGTCTGTTCAACTGAAAAGCCCATATTCTTTCTACTACAGTAAAATACTTCAAATCACTTTTTTAAAAATGTTACTGGTTGGGAGCAAAAATAATGACATGGGCTAGTGAATGTGGCATTAATAGATTTACAGATTGCCTTTTTTCTGTGCTGCCTGGGAAAATGCATAGGCCCAAAGCCACACCTGGAAATCGTTTGGAGGAGACAGCTGGTTACTAGCTAGGTCATAGGCCAGAGAACGGATTGCCAGGCAGCCTTGCTGAATATTTGGTAACCTTTCTAGGTGGCCTACAGGCTTGTTTGTGATATGTAACAGTTACTAAGTCTTAAGGATCTACGGTCAAGGAGATTTGTTATGTTGAATTCAGAACTGTGGTCACAGACAGGAGGGTTGAGGGAAGGTTTTTGTGAAGAAAAGGAAAGTGGCTTCAAGACAGTGACTTCCATTATTTCATGATTAAGTATGTCATAGATGAAAGAGGAACCCAGATTTGAAGAAAACAGTGAAAGGGGAGGCTCCCTCTAGGAGCTTCCTCAGCTTCCCTACTGCTGGTGGCTCACTTCCTTCTCAACCAATTGTCTGTCAGTTGATTGTTACTAAAAAGTGTCTTCTGACCATAGGATCAGACAGAAGTGAGAATTCTAAACTGGTCCTCATATCGGAATGAGGAAGAAACTGTCTTCTAGGAATTGTAAATGTCAATGATAAAGAAAAGAAAGAAATAAAAAACTAACCTGCTTACTTTCAGGAAGCCGTTGTCTTTTAAATTCTTATTTTACAGCAATAGTAACAGTAGCATCCTGTGCAATTTTCTTCCATAAAACAGAAAGACTATCTGTATTTCTGGACCATTAAGCCAACTTTTTTCAGTGTTGAGACAAATGAAGAAGTGTGTTTCTTGTTATCAGTCCCAATGCTGAGGAAGAAGTTCTGCTCCATTCTCTTAGATCTCCCCAGTTAAGCATATCCCATAGGCATGCTATTTTCCTAAGAACATTCCCACCCTACTCCCACAAATGGCATTGTGTCTGTCCATTATCTGAAATACCTCTCATGTATTGGGAGGTGCTTTAAAAATTTCCTTAAATTCATCTTGTCTAGGCCATTTGAGACTTCACTTAATAAAAGGGGGTTTTAGTTTAGATAGCTAAATTTCCCACAGGATCAAGAAATGGTGGGGTTTTGTTCCTTCAT